GCGCCAACGTCGTGGTGACGGTGATGCAGCCGTCGATGCAGCCGTCGATGCGCAGGCTGACGGTGCCCGCGGAGGCTCTCACCATCGTCAAGTGAGCGCTGTTGGGTTGAATGATTGCATGGACATGGACGAGCGCCCCTCGCACCTGTGCACGCGTCGGTGCGGGGGCCTGGCGGCGTCGGCACACGCACTCTGCTCTCTGGCACTGGATCGAGTCGAAGGGCCGGCCCAATTTCGAGAGCGACCGCGTGCGAAGGTACAGTATATGTGTTACACAGAAACGTGGCTGGGAGTGATTCTAAGATCGGGTCGTGCACATGAAAGGCGCAGGCAGATCTTTCATCTGAAACGGAGCTCCCAAAAAAAAGCAAGTGGCCCGCCAGGGCGAGTGCTGCGAGTACAGGGGCTGTTGCATCGGTGGCGGCTGCATCGCCATCTGTGGCTCCTCTGCTGCTGCTCTGTAAGCTGCTGCACCCGCCATTGCGAAGGCGGCCCTTGCATGAACGGCGCCGTTAGGCGTGCGCCGCGTGCGCCGGGCGAGGGAGGGAGGAGCACGAAAAGCATCGCAGGAATCGGAAGCTATTGATGACGCAGAAGAAGAAATTTGACGCGCGCGGGACAGGCGAGGCGCGAGCGACGGCTTCCTCAGAAGCCGTCGCCCGCACCACAGGATCAGTCACACCACTCCCACTCCGGCGCCAGAAGAAGAATTTTGTAAGCGAACTCCCTCGCACGACACTGGGCACGGGACTGGCGCGCACTGGCACTAACACAGCGGCGCCCTCCCGCGCAGTCGTTGGCGCCGCTGCCCGCCTGTGTTGTTGTGTTGTTGTTTGTGCCCTTGGTTGGCACCTTGCTCCTTGGGTGCTAACCGCAACTGTCCATGTCCATGTCCATGTCCATGTCCATGTCCATGTCCATGTCCATGTCCATGTCCATGTCCATGTCCATGTCCATGTCCATGTCCATGTAGTAAAGTCAGCATTAGCACAAGGGCTAAGTGCCCCCCACCATCACTCACTGGCTCCCAGTTCGATCACCATCAGTAGTATTCCACAGACGACAGAGTAGTTAGTCACATCTCACTTAGCAGAGCAACTGAAATTAGCATAGATTCAAAGTCTCCACTCCAACTTTGATCCAAGGGCTCACACGCCGCTCAAGTCTTTATAATTTAAAATGCATTTTAATCATTAAATGCCAAGCATCTTGGGATGCGAAGCATCTTCGGATGATTCGAGCATCCCAGGATGCTCCGGCATCTTAGTTGAAAAAACCATCCAGAGATGCTCGAGCATAGGCAAGACAAAAATAAAATATTCTTAGCTTCAAGCCCCCCTCCGAGACTAGGGACAGAACCACACCAGTATAGACCAGAGGGACTGCGCCTCGCCCCCACTTGCCCTGACTGCACAGGATAGCGTGCCCCGATAACGGCGACACATAGTGGGGGACACTGCGCAAGGAGGGGGTGCGAAGGCTCATTGGGGTGCTAGGTGGGACCATGAGGGGGGGTGGGCGGGGTCCTGTGGGGGTGATATGTTGCGCGGCGAATTCGAACCTACCCCCTCGCCGCGCCGATCCTCACGCGGAG